GAGCAAGGCCCGCTGGGTAATTCACCGTAACCCGGGTTGTGATTAAGCATCAACGACTGCCCGACAACTGATACCCCTCTGAGGTGGTGGGGACCACCAACCACTGCCCTCAAGGTACGTACCTGTGACGAAAAACAAAAAAAAACAGACTATCACTCACCCACACCAGATGGAAAAAAACTCTACAGACTGTCGGTTCACACCCCATCACAACGTCACAAGCCATCAAAACACCCACGAATCAACGAAACAAAGAAAGGTCTATCACAGCCAAAAGACACACAATCCAGACACGCCGCTAGCACTAGAGGCACAGCATGGCCGCGTCGTGACGTATAATTGACGATATATATCATCACATATACATGAAACTCCGACGAAACAGTTTGTCACAGCCCCTCGTTTGTTGTCCTCTTCTCCCTCTCTGCCTACGGTTTACCGGGCAGTTCTATTTGACGATATATATATATATATATATCGCCAAATATATATATTAGTAATAATCTTACGAATAGAACACAATCTACTTCTACCAGGACGAGGTTGCAGGGTGAAGTTCTTTTTTGTTTTCTAAAGAACACATTGACTGCGCTGCGTGCTCACCATCCGGCATGCATTCGAATTACGTGTGTTTGAGTGTGTGTGTGTGTGTTGTGTGTGTGAGAGAGAGAGCATAGCGCCCGTGTGTGGAAGCAGGTGGGTGCGTTGTCGGTGCGAATACCCTCACAAGGGTATCCGCCCTGTTTTTTTGCAAACGACAGAGAATAAGTTTGATTTAAAGTTTAAAGTATACTGCGCGAGGCGAGGCTGAGTCTGTGATTTACGTCGACCACATGGTCGACTGGAGCAGAGAGTGTGTGGGCGTGCAGGCTTGAGGTGCGCGTGATTTTATTTTGTTGATGATTGAAGAACGGATGGTTGTCAAAAGTTTATTCACACGAACCCTATGACCGAGAGACACTTTTTTTTAGAACTTGACGTCGTTGACGTCCGACCGAAATAGCACTATTCGGCAGTATGACCTGTCGGCCGCGGGTCCTGACAAGGCCGCAGGGGCATACGGTCCTGGGAATGCTAATAATAAAAATAAATAAATAAATAAATAAAATAATAATAATAATAATAATGTGCGGCCGTGGCCACGTGATTTAGGGCCTAAGAGGGCCGAATAGGTGGCCGTGCAGTGTACTACGTGGCCGTGGCAAGCGTGTTGTGCCGTCAGGCGGTCGCCGTGTTGGCGGCAGCGTGGCTGGCCAGCGGTTGTGGCTGTTGGAGTACGCAGGCGTGGCCTGCGTGAGGCCATGTGGGGTGCCGCGTTGGGGTGAGCTCTTCATAAAAGAAGAGCTGCTCCTATTTGCTCCTATTTCAACGTGAAATAGGAGCTAGGCCAGTGGAATATCATATCAGACTCTTGCCCAACATATGTTGGGGTCGAATCCAGCACGTTGCGCCACTGGGCTAGCTCTTTTTGGAGCAGCCCAGCCTTTTGGTGCGGCCGTTTCGGTCGTGTGATCAATCAGATCGCGTGGCTGAAAAAAGTCGCACGGAGATTGGAATGGCCCTGTGCAAGGAGGACACGCATAAATCGAGGAAAGGCCCGACTTCTTTTCTTTTGAGCCCAGCGGGCTTCAAAATCGGGACTGTATTTCAACAGTTTATGGGGTGCCTATGACCCACGGGCAAGGTCCTACCTCGTTGGCAGGGAAATGCAAAAAAAAAAAAAAAAAAAAAAAAGGGGGAGAAGGGAAAAACATCAAGCTCGTAACTTTTAATTCGCGTCTATAATTTTTTATGGCCAACATTATTCTTGCTGGCCCTGAAACTTTTTCTGCGGGTAGGTGGGCACCTATCCTCTATACGTGAATTTTTTCAGAATTTTTTATTCAGTGGCTTTTTATCTAAAAATCATTAAACTCGGGGTTCTTTTCATGTCCCCCCCCCTTCGATCATAAAATGGCTGCCCCAAGTTGTTCCTCCTTGTTTGCTCACCTTGCAATGTGAGCAGCAGGGGGAAAAAGTGGGCAGGGGTCCCAGAGTGACGAGGTGCAGCTGAGTGCAGCTAAAGCAAAACAAGAAAAAAAAAGAAAAAAAAGGGAAGAAAAGGAGAGGGTAATAAAAAGGAAAAAGAAAAGGGGAGGCTGAAGGGCTATGAGGCTTGTGGAGTGGTGCGTGGGGAGAGTTGCGCCATATGCAGCTGGATTTGAGCTTGGGTCTGCGTTTTAGCAGACAAGGTGCCCTTGGGGCACCATGAGGGATGGTTTTTTCTTTTTTTTTCTCTTATCTCGTTTTTCCTTTGTTGAGGAAAAACAAGGCTGCTAAAAAAAAAAAAAAAGCAACAAAATTAGGGGATGTGTGTGCACCTGGCCACTGTTGGGGCCAGGTTCTCAAGTGGTTTGCTGCACTTGGTGCAGCAGACCAACTAGGGGACTAACACTGAATATGGCCAGGCTTAGGAGGAGCTATACTTTTTTTGCTTTCGGGTATGTGCACCTGGCCTCTGTCGGGGCCAAGTTCTCAAGTGGTTTGCTGCACTTGGTGCAACAAACCAGCTAGAAAACTGACTCTGAACCTGGCCAGGTTTAGGAGGAGATGCATTGCTGAGGCTGAGCCTCAGCAGTAGCAGTCCAACAAGGGAGTGGCTGAATACAGCCTCCCCTTGGTGAATTTACCTCAGGGAAAGAGCCAGGTCCTTTTCCTAGTGGATGGACCTGACCTTTTTTGTTGTGTGGGGCTGGTATGTGCCCTTGATCTCACTTGGAGATCAAGGGCCCAGCCTGAGCTCAAATTTTTGGCTGAGAGCTTAAACTGCTACCACCACCTCCCTCAACTATAAAAGCAGCCAGCAGCCAGCCAGCCAGCAATCATTGGTGGCTGGTGCTGCTAGCAACTCACTTGGGTGATTGCTGGCTGTTGGAGGAGGAGCTGCTGCTGGCTAGAGAGAGAGAGAGAGTGAGGGTGGAGGTCTGCAGAGAAAGAGAGAGCTGAGAGAGAGATTGTTGGAGGTGGACATAGTTGTGGGGCACAGCCATAGCCACCACCTCAGCAGAAGGAAGAAGCGCAGGAGGTTTGCAGGGAGGTTGAGGCTGGAGGCTGCCAGCTGTGTAACCGGTTGAACGCCGGGAACGCGCGTTCACGTTCAAACGCGCGCGTTCAACCCCCCCTGCCCCGCGTTCAATCGCTTTTAAATGTGTTGCACGCGCGCGCGCACGAAAAAATTGAACGCAGTCCTGCGGGGCGCGCGCGCGCGCCTGGGGCTACGGGGTGATGGTTCGAGTTCAACAACCCCCCAAAGTGCGAAAACCGCCTCCCGGGACCACCCGATACCCCCCCCCCCCCCCCGCCTCACGGTACCCACCCCCTTTAATCAATATCAGCGGTTAAGGTGTCGAGGTT